TGTCAAAATAAATAACTTATTAAAAATGCAATAATATTGTATTTGCAATATAATTTGTCGTATTTTTTGTCACCTTAAGGTATTTTTGTGTAATGTAGCTTGCTTCATGCGATAAGTAAGGAATATTTCATAAATGTCATGCCCACCACCGGCCGAGCGATAAAAACGCTGAACGCTGGTAGTTCGGTCCGAGGTTCGAATCCCGCGAGCGGGCTGGCTGTACGGGCGTTTTCGGGGTGTTTTCCCCATGTGTAACGTGCATACGAGCCAGTTTCCCTTAGAAAGTCCTCCACGAAGGCACCCCTTCCTTTAGGCAGATAGCCCTCGTGTGCTTTGCCATAATTGAATAATCCCAATCATAATTGTCCTTATTATTATAATAAAACACGTTTTTATAGTAACGAAATTTCATTGAAATAAAACTCTTAAGATATTAATTTCATGTAAATTCATATTGCATGATATTAAAATTACGTTAGAGGTTAAATTACGTTAGGGTTTCAATTTATTCTGCTCATCCAATCACATTTGACAAAATTTTATTCGCAGTTATTTATATTTACGTGTAAATTTAATAAAAAGTTCCTTTTTACACAAATAAGAGATATTAATCTACAAAAGGGAAATATTTATATTATTGTCGCTCACTAAATCTGATAAAGAAATTTCAATTTTTTTCTATAATAAGCAACGAAAAATGATGCAAATCATTAAGTTCCTTATAAAATACTTTCAGGAATCCTGGACGTAAAAGGCAATTTTTTTTTATGTTTAACTGAATTAAAAGTTGAAAAAATTTTTAATTAATATTTTACTTTCCAAGAAAATCAAAACGAAAATGTACATTAATTGAGAATTTTGCGATGTTATACATAGAACTGCTTGATGATTGGAGGTATACACCTAAAAACATTTATGGAAATGTCTGATGTTATTTTTTTTTTAACATCCTGTAAGGTAAAAAACTAAAAAATGAATTATTTTCCCTCTTTCATTAGGAAAGGAATGACCAGGCATATGAATTATTTTTATAAGGAATTAATATTTCATATAGGGATGAGTTATTTTTTATTTCATATTCCCTAGTATTCATTCTTTCTCTTCATTATGAATGAGGCTAATAGAACTCAATTTAACAAATATAAAACTGTAAAACGTTATGAATCAATAAGGAACAAAAAGTATTCAAAAAAGTTGATATATCAATATGAGACTTGGCCCATCCATGAAAAATATAAAGGATTACATAAATGTTTTTACAAAAAATGAGGTTTGCTTTAAAGTGTAACGTTTTTCAATGTATGTTGTATCTTTAAAGTACGTTTAATACCTTTTAAAATCTTCGTGTAAATAAACAATAAAACAAACGGTTAAAGACCCATTTTTGTGTACCTCAAGCTTGCAGTTTTGGAACAACTTCTGAAATTTGTGACGTATGCTTTAATGCAGTCCACGTAAGAGTAAACATTAAGCAAAAACATCAGGGACATTTTTTTTTTTTCCTTCTGAGATTTTATATGTCAAAGGTGCTGCTCACTTTACTCAATCCATTAAAATCTTGCTTCTGTCTGACTGAAAATTATTATTTGAAGTGATAAAACTCATTAGATTAACACGCTGGATTAAAACCAAAGCTGACACTGGGAAATAAAAAGTTTTTTTTTCTTTAATGCATCAGATATCGTTTCATACTACTCCGATTAAGGCTGATTAAATATAATGCAATTTTTACAGAACCGTGAAAAGTCTAAAAATTCTTAAATTTGTGATTATTCAAAACAATATAGCATAGTGCTAGCTACTTCTCTCAGAAAGACGTCCTCAAAGGCATATATCTCATTAATCAAATATTCCTTATATTCTTTGCTGTAATTGACTACACAAAAGAATTAAATAATAATATAAATATAACATACAATAGAAATAGAATAAAAAATACTTATGACCATATGGGGAAAAACATGTAAATTTCAAAATTTAAAAATTCGGGTTTTGTGATAAATTGATTCCATGTCTGATGTAATATTAATGTAGTGTATTTTTTCACACAGATTACAACTAAGCAATTTTTTCCCACGCTGTTAATACTAAATGCTAGAAATATGAAATATAAACATAACACATGCAAACATAGCTATTTCATATCAGTTAACAATGAATAGTATTATTAAAAAACACAATTTTTAATAGTTTGGAAGCATATTCATACCCGTATTCGAGAAGTTTAGGGTTGGAGTCTCGACGAGGGCACTGAATATTTTTCACGTCTCCTGCTTCAAAAAAAAATCTGATGTGTACACCACATGACTTCCTTGTACGGAATATTAAATTATACGCATTTTTTCTTGCATTTTATTTAAACTTATTACATTGAATTAAACCTACTTCGCCGACAGCGCATAAAGCACAATAGAATAAATGCTTTCTTTAAAATTCACTTTGTTTACCATAGCGACACTCTGGCGCTAGGTTTAATTAACATTATTATATTTCATTCATATTATAACTCAGAATGCACAAAATGTATATCATTTAAAGAATTATCTAATCGTTGCCACATGTTGTATTCAAACACTATAATAAAGCTAGAACTATGTATAAAAGAAAGTAAGCAAACAAAACGAAAAAAAAAGAAACAGTTTTTCACAGACGATTGAGTATTTCTCATTTAATTAATTCAGTTCTCACTTCGCGAGAAGGCAAAAATACATAAAAACTCAAAATATCTATATTAAAAGTTACGAAATAAATCTCAAACGCTTATTTCCTCGAAAAAATTCCAGAAAGAATTAAGCATGATTTAATTGGCAATAATAAATGAATGCATTATCTTTGTTGTTGCGAAGCTAAGTTTCTCTACATTGGCAACAAATCCACAATCCACTAGTCTCCTGTTTCAAATGTAAACATCAATGGCCGCCATTAAAAACAGGCTTAGCGGCAATTAAACAACTTTAAAATTGCTGATAATTCTAAAAATATTGCACACAGATTTACTAAAGGCATAAAATCCTTAACCGGAAGATAAAAACAACATAATTCAATCATTTTTAAAGCAAAAAATGTACAATTTACAAACATATAAGAGTAAAGAAACTGAGATCACTGAGCCGGGTAATAGAGTGGATATATATAAATATATTTATATACGTTTGGTGCGGCGGCCGATTGCAATCAAAATACGAGGTGCAATCTACATGCTATCGCAGTCCTATATACAAAATTTCAACCTTCTGAGTCTACTCGTTTTTGAGTTATGCGAGATACGTACGTACGCACGCACGTACGTACGTACATACGTTCGTACAGACGCCACGAAAAATTCTCTTCAGAATTAATTTTAAAGCAGTTTTATAATTTTTTTGAAGGAAAAGAGTATTTTATTCTGTCCTTAAGTACAGATATCACGCAAAACATCGTTAAATTGCATTCGATAGCGGTCAAAATGGATATTTTCGTTGAAATATGCTACTTGAAACTTTTCGCGATTACAATACTTCCTTTTTACTTCGTACAATGAAGTAAAAAAAAAAAAAAAAATCTAATGACTCTGAAACACAGCACACACTTCCTTCTCCCAGAAAAAATTATTTTGAACAGTTTTCTTTTCTTTTTTTCCCTGTGTATGTGTAACTATATATCATTCCAAATACTTTTTAACATAAACTTGTTGATGTTCGCCCACCAATGGCCGAGCGAATACGATTGACTAGTACTTCGACTTATGTTTAAATTCCGACGAATGGGCTGACTGCACGGTCGTTTTCATAACTATGTGTAAAATCAGTCCGAGCGAGTTTCCCTCAGAAAGTCCTCTTCGATGGCATCCCTTGTTTTAAACAGAAAGCTCTATTGTGCTTCAAGCTAATTAAATACAAATACTAACTTCATTGGATGTTCATTACAACCTTATGAATGCAACGAACTTTAAAAATTTTCAAGAGCTCGTACAAAATAGAAGCGAAATCTAAAGTATGCAATTTTAAATTTATTTGCATTTATAAAAGCTAAACTTCTTCAATCATTTTAACTTTATTATGTATATTTGCACTTTCGAGCTTGAAGTTAAAAATATATTATTATTCAATAATTTATATTTATGTAAATATTGGAAAATTTGCTCAAAATTCATACCGAGACTTTAGCAAAAGGTGATTTCTTCTTCTTGAAAAGCATTTACTTTCTTTGATTTTTTTATAATGTATATTTGCTTTGTACAGCATTTATTTACTATTTGCGTTCATAAATTCAAATGGCATTCAAAACTTGCAAGCATTTTTAGTTTATCAAGTTCTGATTTATAAGTATAAAAGATTTTCCACGAATAATGGGAAAAACATTGTACTCTGGAAAATTGCTTTATCATGTAGGTTTAATTATTTTAACGTTATTTTTTGGCGAAGATGACTTTAAGCATTATTGAATGTTCATCACTCTGTGTGTGTACTAATATCCTTAAGTCAGTGAAAAAGTTGCTAATGAGAAATCAATAAAATAATCTTTGGACAAAAATATTTTGAGCGTAAAATAAGCGAAGAACTAAACGAACTATCATTTTAATCGGTTTTTAATGAAACCAACTATTATAGCACTTGAACTATTCAATGTAAGTTGTAATCAGTTCCGTCGCTTTTGAAAAGAGAATAAAAACATCAAGGCTGTTAAAATTTTTTTATAAGTCTGTAGAATTACTTTCATAAATTCTAATAAAAAGTGCTATTATCGAGAACAAAATTGTATACCTAATGGGTTGCAATATTAGTTACATGATAAGAAGATAATTTTGTATAATACTAGTATAAAAGAATTAATCTTTGTGATCAGAATTCTATATATATATTGTATATAGACAAGAAATTAAATATCAGGAATTATAGAATTAACATATTTGTCAAAAATCCTAACTCTTTTTCCTTTTTTCACACTCTGTTTTAAATAATATACTGTTTGATATGATCATCAAATATAAATAAAGATGTATTATTATTTTCTTTTTACAGGATAGAGGACGTAGGTTAAAATGCGCATCTTGTAAGATCATAGTGCATGCAGAATGCCGAAAGATTTTGATAGATAAGGTAAATATATAAAAGTTTGAAATAGTAATAAATATCAATATTACACAGAGTTTCAATGAGTGGAATTGCGCAATTTTTAAATACGTCATATTTGCACCCCCTTCTTTATTGGCTAAAAATATGGAGATGGGCCATTTGTATAAAAATTATTTGTCTACTACAGTATTTTTTTATTTCAGTTTAAAATTTTGTTTTCGTCTACATTCCTATGTTCATTCATAATCATTTTCCTTGTTATTTGTTAAGTGCTTGCAAAAGTTTGTCGTATTTTTAAATATATTTGTTTAATTAACATTAAGAAATATGATGTGTAGACCGCATGACTTCCTTGCACGGAATATTAAATTATACTCATTTTTTTTTCTTGCATTTCATTTAAAGGTATTGGACTGAATTAAATCTACTTCGCCGATAGCGCATAAACCAAAATAGAATAAATGCAGTCTTTAAAATTCACTATATTTGTTTACCACAGCGACACTCTGGCGCTAGCTTCCCTTAATAGCGTTACATTTCGTTCATATTTTAAATCAGAATGCATATAAATTTATATCAGTTGAAGAATTGTCTAACAGTTGCCACATGTGCTATTCAAATACTATAATAAAGCTAAAACGATGTATAAAAGAAATTAAGCAAACAAAAAAGAAACAGTTTTTTACTGACGATCCAATATTTCTCATTCAATTAATCCAGTTCTCGCTTCCCGACAAGGCAAAAATACATAAAAACTCAAAATATCTATATTTAAAATTACGAAGTAAATCTTAAAAACTTATTTCCTCAAATAAATTTCAGAATGGATAAACATGATTTAATTCGCAATAATAAAAGAAGGCGTTATCTTTGTTGTTGCGAAGCTTAGTTTCTCTAGATTGGCAACAAATCCGCTATTTTGTCAAGTTTGAAATGTAAACAAACATGTCCGCCATCTAAACAAAATTAGGCATTAGACGTACTTAGCTGCTTAACTAAGTAAACAAACTTTTAAATTGTTGATAACTCCAAAAATATAGCATGCAGATTTACTGAAGGCATACAAACCTAAAGCAAAAAATGAACAACTTACAAACATTTAAGAGTAAAGAAACTGAGATCACTGAGCCGGTTAGCAAAGTGGATATATATATATATACACACACATATATTTATATGTTTGGTGAGGTCGATTGCAACCAAAATACGAGATGCACATCTACATGTTATAACACCTTGATTTATGCGAGATACATACATACGTACGTACAAACACCACGAAAAATTCTCTTCAGAATTAATTTTCAATCAATTTTATAATTTTTTTTGGGGGGGGGGAGAAGTCTTTTATTCTGCCCTTACGTACAGATGTCACGCAAAAACATCGTTAAATTGCATTCGATAGCGGTCAAAATGGATATTTTCGTTGAAATATGATGCCTGAAAATTTTCGCGTTTACAATACTTCTTTTTTACTTCGTACAAAGAAGTAAAATACTATGCATTTTCATTTTGTAAATCCTCCATCTTTGAGCTACATCTTTTTTATCATGAAATTCTTACGATTCACTGCTCTTAAATTCTTCAAGTCTTTCTAAATGTATTTTGGCTTTAATATTAATTTCATTCCTTCTGAACCTTTTAAACTATTTTCATCGCTGGATATTAAATTTCGTTTGTAGGTTTCACAGCTACAGTTAACTGTTTTAACTGTTTTGTTTCTTAAGAAGATTGTCTTAGGTTAAAACAAAAATGCAAAGAATGGGGTAGTCCTACTTTATTTATAATATAAGAGAAGTTTGCCTGTAATATAAAAGAAATAAATTTCAGAAAATATTGAGTTTGGGATACATTTTTACGTTTATAAATCTCTCTTTTTTTTTTTTTTTTTTAAAGTAAAAAGAAATGTTAGGCAGGTAACTCTCATGTGCTTTGCTTTATCAAAGAACGAACCATCTGCTTCCAACTCCCGAAAATAATTGGAGTTTGAAAATTTCATATTATGATATAACACTTTTAAAAAAATACTACGCAAGATTCAAAAGTTAAAAGAATTTTTTAAATATAATTTGTAAATGTTGTAAAATTAAAAAGAAATTGAAATCTGATCTTGATACACATATTTTTTTTCTAACCCTTGTAATAATGTCAAGGAATTATTACAGATTTACTAATTTAAGAATTTGTCTCTTAAATATTGCAGAATAATAGTGCCTAAAATCCTATATTTAAAACGTGCAGTTCAATAGAGCTGAGCAAAATGACAGAAGAAAAAATTGCCGCGCTGTAATTTCATGATAACGTGGACACTTGTGTAACTAATCAATTAAGAAAAAAATTAATTATTCAAAAAGTAGCTCTATATTTATTTCATTATATGGCTTGCAACAAATATTTGACTTGAGAAATAGTACGTTTTATTTTGAAGCGATGAAATCCTTTACAGAAAACGATAAATACATCTTTAAAATGTTTCATATAACTAAACAAAAGGACAACTTACTGTAACTTTTATCTGCCATTTAACGAACTTTCGCAAGCACTTAATAAATCTCGTTCATAGTTTTGGAATACTATTTCCTGTTAATAGTAAAGGAAGTTCTATCTTATTTCAGCTATTAATGATTACGTTCATATGCTTCCATTTTAGGACATGGACATAAATGTTTTCATCAATTTCTTCCACATTCATAATGATACACTGTCTAGATCAGTGGTTCTCCGTTTTTTTCTTTCTTTTTTTTTCTTTTTTTTTCACTATGCTTCCTGTTCACCATTGCTAGATGATCATTGCCCCCTTCCTCCAAATCCTTAAATATGCATAAACATTTATTTAAATTTACGCTTTTGTAATGCGTTTTATATATTAAACAAAAAAGTGCAGAAAATGTTGATGAATGCCAAAACTTGAATAAAAGTAATTTTTATATTCATAAACTAAAACTAAATGTTTAGTAGGTAAATTAAAGACTGACCGCGTTTCTCCACTGAAACTATGAAATCCCCCTTTGCGGGGAAATTATCTTCTGGTTGAGAGCCCCTGGTTTAGAGAAATATGTAATATATATTTTCTCTCTCTCTTTCGGCGAGGTTCGAATCCCGCAACCGGGCTGGCTGCATGGGTGTTTTCGTGGTTTACTCCATGTGCAACGTGTATACGAGCCAGCTCCCCTTAGAAAGTCCTCCACGAAGGCATCCCTCCCCTTAGGCAGATGTCCCTTGAGGCTTTGCTGTAATTGAATAATCTAACCTACAACCTCTTTCTCTTTTATTAATTCTGGATGTTTTCAATCGTCTGTTTCCTCAATGACTTTAAGTAATCATATGTGTGTGCTTTTTACTACTTCGAAATACAGTGACTCATATTTGTTTCTAATCAGTGTTTTTCAGTTTTCTTCTCAAATATCAATTAATAAATAATAACAAATTTACTTTATTTTTTTCAACATATATTAATGATCATCTAGTTTTAAACATGCTTGTTTTGAAAGAAACTATTCGAAATATTTTGGTAAAAAAAATATTCAAAAGTTTCTGAAAGTGGACTCGCATAAGTATTTGGACACTTGAAGTAAACAGTATATATTTATGAAAATAACGGGACGCTCAATATTTTGTTGGATATCCTTTAACTAAAGTGATACTTTTCATGCGCTTTGGCATGGATTCAGTTAATTCTTGTGTAAGAATGTTCCATATGTTTCATTCCTATGTAAGAATTGCTTTCCGTAGAATTTTCGAAAAAATAACTTTTTTTTTTTCCTTTTCTCTATTTTTCTCCTTGCATGCTTGACTTGGTTTTAGTAATTTCAGAACATTTGTATAATAACCACAAGCGAATGTTTAGAGCTGTAAGATTAGAATCTCTAGCATGATAAACCTTGAATATATTTTGCATTCAAAGTTTTCTTGAAGATGCTTTCAATCAAAACATTTATATATCCATAATCATCAATATTTTTTTAACCAAACACTAAATTTCTTATTTAAAGGCAGCGAAATATCCCTGAACAATTATTACTGTACCGCCGTGCGTTAAAGTAGGCAAGAGGTTTCTCGAATTCAATTCTTCATTTGGCTTTTGTCTTATATTAATTCGTCTCTCTGACCCAAATATATTAAAGTTTGACTTTTCTACAAATACAGTATTGTTCCACAGATTTTTGGAATAACCGGTAATTCCTTTTCTTGTTGTCAAAGAATTTTCTTCTTAGTGAACACTTACTATACCCACATGCCCTAAATGAATCTTCTAAAGGCTTTATAGTTAACTTTTATTGCAAACTGCTTTTCTAAATCTGCTGAACATTTTTCAGTACTAATTTTCCGCTCTTGTTTGATTTTTCATAGAATAAATCAGCGATTCCTTGGTGTTAGCTAAGAATGTAGTGAAGACTTCAATGCATTTTCAACGTTTCACGCAATTTCAGTCATTTTATAACATTGAAAATAATTAAACGCTTTACATTTTTGTATACTCCGAATACTTTTATCATGTTTAAAAACGATGAATTAATAAATTTCTAACAGAATTAGTTGTTAAATTGTATTTTGCCATGTTCATTTCAGATAGGGAAATATTAATATATTTTGCTAAACAAGTAATAATTTTCAAATTCAGACGATAATTCTTGGGATGTATTTTCGTTTAAAATAAAAAATTGTAACACGAAGCAATATCTACCAAAATATCTCAACAAAAATTTGGGGTATCCGAATTATTATGTGAATTACTGATTGACACAGTTTGAACAAATTATTTTATTGCAAGGAATATTTTGATGATATTTATTTTATAATGATCAAGGCTTAGAGTCTGTGTATCAATATTTAGCATAAGATTTATGCAAAGGAATTTCAAAAATACAAGTATTCGAAAACAAATGTGAGCCCCTGTATATTCTGTCCATGTCTGTATATTATTAAATACATACACTAAAAATATTTTACTTGACATTCCATTATTTTTTAAGAAATACACTTAGGAAAACAACCGCTTTAACTCTTAAAACCCAGTATCAGTACATAATCACTGAATTTTTAAAATGGAAATATTTTTAAAATTTGTAAAATTCTGAAAACATTTAATAAATACGACAACATCAATAACATATACAGCACCAAAAATATTATTTTTAGGGGAGAAATTGAAACTGAAAAATGATTTTGGACATTTTTAAATAGTCGGATCTTATTTTAATCATTATTAATATTTCTTTTCTTTCTGTAAAAGTATTAACTCATAAAATGAAATACTTTGGCTAACAAACAAACAAAAATACAGATGTTTTTCTGCGATTACCAAATTTACGAAGTTCAAAAATAAATTTATTAGTAAATAGAATCATAACATCTTTTACTTTAATATGCATGGACATAAAGTAAGACTCAAACCAATTTTACATTACTTTGCATACACGTTCCTTATTGAAAGACTTAAATAAAGCGTTTTTTTGCTGTTACTGTAGTTGTTATAATGTGCACTAGATGTCGCCACACACTTTAATGATAGGTTTTTCTCTCTAAAAGTTGGTGTTTAAATCGATTTACCGGTTTTTTGTTAGATCTGTTTGAATGCTTTTAAAATAATCATTCCGCATACACACTTGTGGAACAAATAAATATTAAAAAAATTAAATTAAATAGGTAAACGAATAAATAAAAGTTTTAAATTGCCCACTATTTGTTCCGAAGAAAAACTGTTTGGATACCTAACAATAGCTGTGTGTGTTTTTAGCTGTGATTAAAATATTTGTTGCAAAATAAATTGACAACATAAACATAACTAACTAACTACCTGCAAAACAATGTAAGAACGTGAATGTATATGATATTAGATATAAATGCTCAACAGTGTGGAATAAAGTACTGTCTTTGAGAAATATGACTTAACTATTAACTATTAATATGCCTAACAATTATACGTACATTTATAGTTATTATACTATCGGTTACATCATTAAGACTATCATGCATCATTTTATAAAACAATTAACTTTTTATTCTTTTTTTTTTTTATTGAAAGATGAAAGTTCTTTGCCGATCAACATTCCAAGACGCAGAAAATGGTTCTTACAGAGAGGTGAGTATTAATCAGTAAAGAATTATTGAGGTAAATAATACAATTATAACGAGTTGATTGCGTAAAAGAAATAGCTTTTCCGTATAGAGAACATACAATCAATCTAAAGAATAGTGTATAAAATTCACAACAATAAAACATTTGATTGATTATTCTTGAACAACAGCTGGTTAAAATTCCCGGCTGTTTAAGCTTTTATATTTTCAATAAATGTGATTTATATGAATTTTTTCTATTTTATGTCAATATTCATAAAATTAATGTCCTCACAGATGTTAGTTATCAACACCGATAAGTTAATGCTATCAAAAGCCAAGCTATTCTGCACTGTCCCCCATTTCTTGAAATCGATCTTTTATCCATCTGTCTGATTTCATGAATCTCGATTTCCTTTCTTCGCAGTGGGTTAGCTGATCGATTAAGCCTCCGAAGCCGTAAAGTTTCTAAAAAGAAATTGGCTTGGTGGTGAAGAGAAACTGATTTAACTCTTTCATACATTCCTTTTTGTTCGTGTGTCATGGCAACAAGACAGGAAGGAGTGTTTGAAGACGCGGACGTTAATTAAAATTTATAAATCCAAAATACTTTTCGCTTGAAGAGTAATGTAAGAAAGTAATGCATCCCTGATTATTAATATACGGTAAAAATTTAGAATAAAATCTGTATTTAATAAGTAAGACATATTTTATTTAAATTAAGTAACACACAAATTAAATTAACAATCTTCACAGACATTTTAAATTAGAATGTTGTAAAAGGGAACTTACTACTCAGTCATAAATACCTTCAGTCTTATATACTATAAGGCATTACTTCCCAAGACGGAAGGTAAAATGGCTGAGAGAAAAAAAAAAAAAAAAAAAAAAACTGACTGACTGACTGAAAAAAAACTGACTCAGACGTAGGACAGTTAGCTACAAGGGCATAGCGTGAATCATCTGTCGTCAATATTAAATTTGGCGCACGTTCGATTTCTGCTTCTTAGTTTCACTAAGAAAACGAAACAGTGATTTATTCTAACAGAATTTCTAGTCTAATTCTAGATTTAAAATTAGATATAGCGAAACCAGGTTTCTTTATGAACAAAAGAAAACCAACATTTATTTTAAAACAATGGCTCTCGCTTATATTTAAATTGCTGAAAAAAGAAATTTTACCATATACTAAATTCTGAAAAACGAGATCTAACAAAACAAAATCTTACAATAAAATTAACAATCTTCACAAACATTTTAAATTAGAATGTTATAAAAGGGTTACAACATTCTAATTTATTACTAATTTTACATTGTAAAGTTTACTTCTAATTTTACATTGTAAAATGTTGTAAAAGTTTTAAAAATGAATCTTACAACACTAAGAAAAGAATAGAAGATAACAACGTTCATAACAAACGATACACTAATAAAAGAATAAAAGATAACAACGTTCTCAACAACCGATACACTAATAAATTAATCTCTAATTATAAATTATGGTAAAAAATTAGCTATGTATTAGCATTTTGTAGAAAAATTGCCATTATATATTATTCTGTGCTTTTTTTTTTTTTTTCAATACCATTTAAAATACCGCTTTTCGATAGCTGACTTTTGTTTCGCTTATTTGAAGGTTATTGTCTGGTTCAAACCAAATTTATTGCTGCAGATTTGGTCGAAATATTTTTCTAGCATAAAAAAACCGTATTAGCATTACAATTTGTCTCCTATGGCAAGACATTGTCCCATTTGATTTGTTGCGTTAGCAGATTTCCAAGTATATTGATTTCGTATTAAATAAGCTTTTTGTAAATGCTTAATAACATACTGCGTGTACTGACAATATTTCCATCACCATTTCTGAGTTAAATAAGCGCAGCATTTTTTCGTGTTTTATATCAAAATATTTCTCCGAATGCAGAATCTGAAAATTTTAGATTAAATCATTCTCATCTCCTGGAACAAATTCTATGGTTACACTGAGTAAAATTTACGATGTACGTATCAGAGAAAATCACATATTGTAGCTCCCCTCTGAAATAGCTTTTTACCATTTTCATTGTTGTCTGAAAATAAGTGCTCTAAATTTCCCGAATACGATTTCAACAGACATTTGACTGTCATTCTTTATTTTCTATTGAACTTTCTTCCCTGTGGTTTTGAAGGTTGTGTTTATTATACTATACGTTGACCTGGATAAAGCTTGATTTGTATTCTGCATGCCTGGACAGCATAAGATAATATTAGATTTCTAGATCTGAGAAGAATTTTATGTGTACAAATTTGCTGAATAAAACAGTCTACGTTAACAAAGGTCTAGATGATTTTCATCAATTTGTTTACATTGAATAAAAATATGAAAAGAAAGCTTTTATCAAGAAGTTTTTATTTTACAACTAAGAACAAACATTTTAAAGTGTACCGAAAGTTAATAAATACTTCACTTCTTTATAAATGGTAAAGAATAAAAAAAGTAGGTCTTCATTTAACGGCTAACAGCGGGGAAGGCGGATAAGCCAATATCCGAATGTGTTACTATAATACATATACTACAAAACAGAGAAATTTCGGCGATAACTATTGGCATTTATAGTACATTAATTTTATTTTTAGTATTTAATCCTAAGATTGAATATATTATGTCGAAGTTTCATTGCTTTAAGGAATACAAAAATGATACTACTTTTTTCTGCTTGTGTGTTGTCACTGTTTAAAGGACGATATAAAACGGGTATATATTAATCACGATAAAAATTCATATTCATTGTCTCTTACATATTCACAGATATTATTTATCAGCATAAAATGACATTAGGCGTTTAATTCCAGTGTTCTTTAACAACAGGGATAACACTAAAAAAGGCAATAAAAGTTGAATAAAATATCACTATTATTTATGGCTCCAAAAATTCTTATGTGCTTATAGAAAATTATATGTATATCCATACACATAAGACATTCTTTGCCTATAGCATATGTAAGAAATCATGGCCCTTTAGTTCAATACTTTTGCCTATAAAATTATAATGATAATATAGATTAAAATGATACATGTGGGTAATACTAAGAATAGTGCACAGGATGTTTAATCTAAAAATGAACTCTTTACAAGAATAAGTGTACATATTTGTAACACATCCCTTGCTTGTAGCATATGTAGGAAATTATGTCTCTTCAGTGCAACGCTTTTGCGTATGCATTTTCCTTTGCTCCTAGTAACATGATGAGACTTTTGTTTTGTATTTTGTTTGCATTCTGGGTAGCATTCTGTACTGTTATGAGACTTTTTTTATATTCTGGGTAACAGCACTGACGCTCATTTTCACTTTCCCCAAAATGTATGCAGTTTTTATGAAAAAAATGTTTTTTAAGTACCCCCACATAATACTAAAATTAGATTGTACGAATAGAAGATCTTGGTAGTCATAATTCTTAGATATGAATCTATCACCAAAGAACTCCTTCAGCATTATCGTGATTGAATTTCCTGTACGACATTTCACACCATTCTTGATGCATCAAAACATAATGTTCATTCTTCTACAGTAAGGAAATATACTGCCAGACACTATTTTGAAGGTCTCACCGTCCATTCCCGATTCAACTTTACACACCACACCTGATAATAATATTAACAAGATGGAAAGTAGACTAAGGACAAACAGATGCAGGTTTTCAAAGGGTAGTATTTCGTAATTTTGGCTATAGATCTGTCTAGTTCCATAAAATACCCCTCATATGTAATCATACCTTGACACCACAAAAGAAGTTTAAACCGCATTCAAGCACCCAACATACAATACGACAGGTTTCAACTTCAGCTATTTATAAGAGATTCATCAAATTATTTTCTGCTTCCGAAGAATCAATGAAACAACACAATTTGCATACAGTTATACACATTTAAATTTGAGGTTCATTTTTAAATGAAATGCCAACAGATTAATTGAATTTTAAAGCATGTTTGTTTTTGAAAAGGCAAAAAACGTAAAGCTCTTTGGCAGTTCCACACTGACAAATTACTCCCCGTTTTCCTTCAAGGAAGTTAGTGTATCAGTCAGTATTAGAAAGAGTTTGACTAGTAAACCCTAATATTAATTAACTATATGCAGTAATTGTTTTATCCGAATTATTTTTATCTCTGGTCTCGTTTTCCCCTCTTTTTAATAATTTCATTGATTAATTATTTTTAAAGAAATGAAATGTTATATATTTTAAGACTAGTTAACGCATAGTAAACATAAAAAGTGTTGAAATAGTAATATTTTCTCCTTTTATCCAACTTCCGGCAAAATAGTACACTAATTTAATTTGTTCCCGAAAGGCATTCGTGATCCGAAATGCTAAAAAGGGCAGTAGCAATGTAGACTATAATAGCAGTCCTAAACGCTGAAGAACACACATAATCACTATAGAAATGATCCATTTAATACATTCGTAATGGATGCTGTTCCAGGGATGAAGTAATATTAAAATGTACGGGAATGTTCAGGTTGAAATTTAAAATTCTGTACTCGTTACATGCTTAGGTAAATTATAAAATTTTCTGTAAATTTTACTGCATGCATTTCATAACCTCTGTCTACAAATCTTATTTTATCTTATTACATTATTATCTTATTTATTATTTAATACAAATCTAATTCATAACCATAGTAAACCTAAATATATAAATGTTACTATAATAATTACAAATGTTATATAAATGTATTTCATGTCAATAGGGGGCTTGAAAGGGTTAATTTATTATGAAACATGGACCCAAGTTAATAGAATGGAAACAAAGCATGAATAATTCGGTTATACGTGTGCGATTCAAGAAACTCTGAAGTCATTAATATAATCATTTTAACGAAATAAAATGTGTCTTACACTGCTAAATATTCTCTTTTACTGTTGCATTTGTTTTGACTGCATATATACCATATATATGTAATGTCTATTTATTGATTATTTATTAGAATACGGCTATTAGTCATCACTGGATAGCTCGACGCAAACCTACAGGAAGATGCAGAACTTGCTCAAAAGTGAGTGTGTAATCTTATTAGTTAAAAATTGTTATCTGTTTAAAGAAAAGCTCTGAATCCTGAATTATAACATAGAGAATTCAGAGTAAGTTCACTGTTGGTACCTGAAGTCAAAAATGTTTTTCAGAAGTCAAAGTAATTCATATATCGCCATTTAAACCATAAATTTTTTTTGAATTATTTTTATACCCTAAAAGTGTTCTTATAAATTTAACAGAATAAATATCCGCAAATATTATTCAGTAATTTCACTATGTAAGGATTTTTGCATTTAGTTTGCATTCCATTAATATTCAGATTTTAAATACTGATTGTAAAATAAAATTAATAAAGAATAAATATCATTATTTAATATATGTATCAGATATTGGATTTATTGTAGTTCAGAATTCAATTAAGCAGACTTGACAACCTTTGTAATTATTTGCTAGAATTTTTCTCATTTCTTACACCAGATTAAATAATGCGTTATTTTTGAAATTTTATGCAACTATTAACTATTTGAAATTTTGTGCAACTATTATCATAAATAAAAGTCAGAAAACAATAGTTTTTTGAGAAATTGAATTAAAATGGTGACTTGTGTTTTTGTAAATTAGATGATACTGAAGGAGCTTCGTTTTGTTATCAGATTCTTTGTTTATAAATCTTCTTACGTGATTGCCACTTTTTATATGTATCGCAAGATAAATTCATTTTCCTCTTTTCGAAAATAATTTTATCTTTTGGTCAACATACAGCATAAAATACATCGCAAATCAACTTAAAATTTGTAATACAAAAGAAATAAAAGAAACGAAATCGATACTGTACTAATAAAGTTGAATCACGCTAACTTTCCCAGATATAGAGAAATCAACTATTAATTACAAATGAATAAAAAATGTCACATTTTTCCGTGATCGGCTTCCAGATCTTTCCATCACATATCGATAGTTATCTCATATTGATACTGCGGTCTGTAGCATAGGTTGCTTAGTAACGAAAGTGTTGCTTGTTTATTTTTTGCGAATTCCTAACTTGACAAAAAGTTTTAATAACTCCTATGTAAAAGAAGAAGTTCGAAACGGAGACTTATTTACTGAAATATACGTGCATCCTATTGAAAAAGAGTTTCCGTCAGAAACACGAAAGTCTTTTCTCTTGTAGAAACACGAAAACATCAAAAGTGTGCGATGGTAAGCTTTCTTTCATTGTGTGTTCCTTAAAATTTAATCTATGAAAGTAATTTCATGCATAAAAGCCTTAGTTTGTATGTTTATATTTCATGAAGATAATTTTTAAAAATTGAAACGAAATAAAAATTTCTTTTTGAAACAGAATTCTGTTTCAGAAAATTAAAGTCTTGCTTTTTTAAAGAAAGCAAGACTTTAATTTTCTTTAATTCAGGTGTTCAGGACTTTAATGTTTAAATCAGGACTTTAATTCAGGTGTTAGAATTTGATAAACAAATTCCTTGCAATACTTATCGATAAACTTTAACCGTATAAGTTAAATCCGATATTCTGATCGAAACAGTTCTTCTTATTAATAGTCATGAATAAATACAAAGTTTACTTTTGTAGCATAATGAGATATTAAATATTAAAAAAAAATCGTTAATATGTCACGATCATATTAAAATTAGAAATTATATACTATTCTTTTTGTTACCATTTTTAGACATTTGGCGGTAAAGTCTGCAGTCTACTGAATGTAAGTACACATTATTTATGCATTTATAATTACTTTAGAAAACATTGCTAAGATTAGGTTTATCGCTGATGAAAACTATAATTTCAGTATCTATTAATTTTTGTCTGTTAAAATACAGATATGATGCTTTTATATTATGTTGCAGCAGTTAAATAATGATAATTCAGGATATTTTATAAGATGAAATGTACTTTTTAAGCGGAAATTATAATTACTTATAAGTGAATTATTTACAAGTGAATATATAAAAGCGTTTTTCTTTCATATTTATTAAATGTTCATAAATGTTGTTAAATTACATTTATGAAAAGTTCATCATCTTATTTCAATTCCATATGAATTTTATACAGTTTTTTTTTTCAGATACTCAAAAAGTTATTTTCATATTTTATGATATCAACAATCTGTCCTATCAGCATTACAAAACATTTTTTTTAAGTTCCAATAATGCTTACTTCTAAAACTGTTAATATGGAATAAATGTTCATTTTTAATAAATTTTAGGTCATAGACAGAAATTTATTTTTGTTTGCGTAATATCTTTATATTATTTTTAGTGCCATAATTGGAGTATTGCAATTACACAGTAACCCTGTAAAAACATTAATTTCAGATAAAAATAAATTTTGTTGCTTTTAATATGAAAATGTACTGCAATGAATCAGACTACATTAAAATATGAAATTTTGGCTCGGAAATCGTTTCTTTACAGACCTAAAATGAATTTCCATAAATGATGTAAAATAAAATACTAAATTCTCCTCTTTATATAATTTAGACGAAAGGCGTGTAAATGGGTAAGACTTATTTATACCAGTTTCGAATAAAAGCATCAAATTTTATAAAGTTATTTTTTTGCTAGGAAATGTTTTCTTTTCAATCAAGTTTATTTTTATGCATATTTTGTATGTAAGGGGAGGGTGATAAACTAGATAATGTAAAAACACAGAATAAATGGGCCATAATACTTCAAAATTTACGATTTAAAAAAATTACTTTATGTTTTTACTCATTTTTTAATTTTTTTAATTTTGAGCTCGAACCTAAAGTTATTCTAGATCTATCTTATCTGAGAACAATATCCATTGTTCATGTTTTAAGAACAGTTTTGAATAAAGAACTGAAAATATTAAACAAACAGCTAAATTACAGAGAATATTTACGATTTTAAAAGCTGCAAAAGCATCTTTAATATTCGCTATTTTGAACTGAAACCCACTTTAAAACGAAACTGTTGAAAGAAACATTGATTACAATTTCAGAAATTTTAAATATTAGGCAACGAAAATTCAATAAATACATTAAAATGTACTAGCATTATAATCCATTTTTTATTTTATTTTGATTTATTTTACTGTTATTTCAAGTTTATTTTATTGCATATTTTCATTTAGCTTGATATCTAAATTTGTCTTCTGGTTATTTTGTTTGAATCAAGTTTTAAAGTTAATTTTGACTTCTCTTTGTTGAACCTCTTATCTTGACACTGTGCATACATATATATTCGCGATGAAGATCTAATAATATTCCGCACAAATTTTCAAAAATTAATATAGTGCTTCTTTAAAGAAATGAGTTTTTATAATATGTGTTTGTTTAATTATAAAAACTAATTACCTCAAAACAACTTACAACTAAACTAATACCCTCTCTCAGGGAAGCCTGTAACCCCTAGAGAGCGCGTCCCCAGGTGGCGGATCGAGGAATGCCTCCATAGGTTTATCCTTGGGTGGTAAGAGGGACATAAAATACCTGGCGCAGACCAACAGGCAGAAGTCCAACCTTTTCGAGGCTCTGGCAGCTTCTTTTTATATGAAGGGCAAATGTCAACTCAGTCATCAGATCATTGAGCTCACAAACAAAATCATTGCTGCCCAAGGATCCTGCATCTTGCTATGGATACCGGCTCATGTAAATATTGGTAATGAGAAGGCCGATGAGCTTGCAAAGGCATTCCGTGATTCTCCTCAGCCGTCTAACTGCCTAACCCTCGTTGATGCCAATGCAGTTGCCAGCCAAAGACTAATCGGTCAAGCTAAAGGAAACTCCATCCCAGAATTGAACTGTGACAGAGCCATATCGACTATCATAACTAGACTTAGGACAAATCACTTAAAAGGGATGAGGATTTCTGCAGACGGACAACGTAGTTACACCAACATTTGTCCTCATTGCCCAGGTGACATCCCACTGTCTCGCCATCACATCTTCAGCTGTCCAGCAATCCAGGCCAGACTGTTTAACATCGGCATAGAAGACCCAGTGGACCTACTTTATACTGATAGAGCTGCCGAGGTTGCAAAAGCTGTCTTTGACAGCTTCGAAGATATATAATTGCACTTTGTCATAGACACGACATTATCAATTACCTCATAATTTCGACATTTACATCATCGGATAATTAAGACACAATAACACGCCGAATAAATACTAATTCAGAAATCAAACAACAAAAATCAGCGTTATATTTACAAAGTTTTCACAGGACTAGTTTCGATGGTTTTACCGAACCACCATCTTCAGCTGCAAAACCGCAAATGAACAAGATAGGAAATAATGATTAGATAAGATAAGAAAGCCTGGACAAGAATAAGCAAGTAGCGCCATCTGTTGGTAAAACCAGAACTAAAACATAATTTCTTTAAAGGCCGAAGGCAAATTTTGGATTGGAATTAGGATCGTTAACTAGAACAGAAAGATTTTTGATGAATGTGAAATGCCTCTAGAAAATCCAGTTCTCCAATGGAAGATGTTTTCTGAATAATTTTGGCAGCAGAAAAACTGAAAGTGTGGTTTTCGGACCAACAATGTGAGCAACAGAAGACTTCTGTGTTTCCTTTTTCTAACATATGCCTCATGTTCCTTGACGCGAAATTTTAAGGCTCTCTTAGTTTGGCCAATGTAAATTAAACCACACTGGCAAGGAATCCTATAAATACCCCAGGAATTCATATCCGGAATGGGGTCCTTGAGTATGGAACTCGGAATTTTATTGATGGGAGAATAAACAACCCGAAAGTTAAATTTCTGCAAAATATGTGCAACTTTATAGCTAATTGATGGAAAGAAGGGAATGACAACAGAATTTTTATAATCTCCTAAAACAAGATTGTGCCTTAATCAAGCAGTTAAAAAATTCTCATCTCAACACACTAAAAGGCACAATCTTGTTTTAGGAGATTATAAAAATTCTGTTGTCATTCCTTCTTTCCATCAATTAGCTATAAAGTTGCACATATTTTTGCAGAAATTTAACTTTCGGGTGTTTTTATTCTCCCATCAATAAAATTTCCGAGTTCCATACTCAAGGACCCCATTCCGGATATGAATTCCTGGGGTATTTATAGGATTCCTTGCCAGTGTGGTTTAATTTACATTGGCCAAACTAAGAGAGCCTTAAAATTTCGCGTCAAGGACATGAGTCATATGTTAGAAAAAAAGGAAACACAGAAAGTCTTCTGTTGCTCAACATTGTTGGTCCGAAACCACACTTTCAGTTTTTTCTGCTGCCAAATTATTCAAAAAACATCTTCCATTGGAGAACTGGATTTTCTAGAGGCATTTCACATTCATAAAAATCTTTTGTGTTCTAGTTAACGATCCTAATTCCAATCCAAATTTGCCTTCGGCCTTTAAAGAAATTATGTTTTAGTTCTGGTTTACCAACAGATGGCGCCACTTGCTTATTCTTGTCCAGGCTTTCTTATCTTATCTAATCATTATTTCCTATCTGTTCATTTGCGGTTTTGCAGCTGAAGATGGTGGTTCGGTAAAACCATCGAAACTAGTCCTGTGAAAACTTTGTAAATATAACGCTGATTTTTGTTGTTTGATTTCTGAATTAGTATCATCGGATAGATTAAAAATTAGTCTTCCCACTAAAATGGTGTTTTAAACCACTGGTGTAATGAGCAGGTATTAGATAATTTTTGTCAAAACGATAGATGGGTTACTAACATTCATCACTTCTAACAACGATCGTAGCGCCGTTACATCATTAAATATCTTAAATTAAAATTATCAGACAGAAATTCAAATCAGATAAATGCAATCTGACGCCATTGAATAGATGGAATAACTTGGAAAGAAAATGACTCACATGGTTTCATTGCTATACGGATTTTGAAGACTAAAGATCCTGCTTGCAAAGACAATGATGAGAGTTTCTGTAATTATTATTTCCCTTCTAATTTCTATACAGCAAAAGGGGTAATAAAGTATTTTATATTACAATTTCTTAAAGTTTAGTGAATAAACTATAAGAAAAGAATATTTTCATAGCTATAACTATACATTCTCGGTTATTTATGACTAGTTTTCTATCTAGGAAGATAATCACGGGCACCCTTAAAAAAATGTTGATACAATTGAGTTTGACTTTCTTTGGTAGCATAAACTAATATCAAACATATCAAACTCCCAATAGACTTACTGCTGTGTCTGAAGTTAGCGACATAGACTTGAAAAGATTAAAATGGAATGTAAAGTTAAATAATAATTTAATTCTAAAGTTAAACTAAGTCTTGTAGTCGAAGACTGTACTGATTTTAAATTAAAAACATAAAGTTAGCTCAGAACGTTTCACCGACTTAACAATTAAGTGTCGGCAGCAATAATGCAAAGTCGAAGAATTACAATCTTATCAGAGATGGCGAAACCTAGTAAAATTGCCTCAAGAGACCGAAACATGCTCTAGCTTACAATCAAAACCCTCGACTTAAATACTCTCTCACTCTTTCACATTTCTGGTGAGGAATCAAAATAGAGAAGCTATAATAAAGGTCTAAATCATCATAACTGGTTAATTAAAATAATAATACCCCTAGAAGACATTAACAGAATTTTAGGAAATGTTACAGTTGTGACATAGAATATGTAAAAGAATGATTATATTTAAGTTATTTAAATTTCTCTTTGAGAATGATTTAAAATCCATAGTTAATTTTATTATAGTTGTGTATTACCAATATTGTGAGAGTCGAAAGAAATTATCTTTTAGT